AAAATACCATATTTTGTGTGCTGTTCTTCACAGTCCACACCTACATTTTTTCCCAGTTGTTCCTGTTGCACAATGACATTGCAGGAGCCATAATTGTAGTCGACAGCTTTGAAGTTTGGCAGTAATTTATCCAAAGGTTTGAAAAGCAACTTTGGAAAAGAGGGCTACATCTGGTAAATACGTTTGCTTTTCTATGAAGCAAAATTAAAACCATCCCTCTCCAAGAGAGGCTTTTGCTTCCAATAGAGCTATTGTGAATGATTAGAAAGTATTTGAGACATCTTTTCTTCGTGACCACAATATTCTTCTCAATTCACAGCATCCAATGTTTTAAGAATACCCACATACACATGCAGACAAGGAGAGGAGACTAGGAAGCAATCTCACTCTTGTATTTAATCAAATCAATATTAATAGGATACTTTTCTAATCATCCTGAAATCTGGTCCAAAGAGAATCCTGATTTCTAGAAATATGGGAAAAAATTATTGCAGTACTTCTTTTCTTGAACGGGTATTTGAAATCCCTAGATATCTGAAACCTTGTCTCACAATTTTACTTCATACTTCTTTGCCTCACAACAGAGGCCAGATCACAATTATAAAATAAGACAAAGTGAGTCCCTTTAAAAATTAAGAATAATGTGTGTGAAGAATGTGTGAGATACAGCTCTAGTGATGGAAAGAGATAAGTCAAGATTTGTTTACTATATTAAAATGCTTCAGTTTGCACTTTCTTTAATAGCGAGGGTCAAACTGGATGGGACACTGAAGATCCATAATCATAATATTGCATTTCTTAATTTGGTTTTTCCTTGGATAGAGTGAAAATACTGGACATCATTATTGGGAGATCTCACTTAAACTGGAATTTCATCAGTGAAAATGCACTGCAGTTGGAGCTGTCTGTACATGTTTTCTAAATAGGACAAAATAACAGGTTTGAAAGAGTTTCCAAAGTCTTAAGAAACAGGAGATTTGGTCATAGATCTCCATCTTTTCTAAACTACTGGATTTCAAACATTCATACTGGGAGCCAAAGGCTAATCTTAAGCAAACAGACAGAATTCCAGGAAAGAGAACATCTGTTACATTACTGCGGTTATCTTCCTTTTGGAAGGCCAGTTTTAAGTGGCACCAAGAGAAGGGGATAATTGAAGTCAGGATGATTCTGGTGCAACAAAGTGTATTAACCTGATGGGAGAAAATATTATTTGGACTCAAATTGAATCAAGAAAAGTTGACAAGCGGTTAACAAACACTGAGCAGCCTTTTTAGTACACCCTGAATCATACCAAGCAAGTCACAACCATTGATTGATTTGGATCAGCATCCAGACGTGATAGCTCAAGAGGTTAATTTTGACCAAGGTTATGCTAAATTGCAGATCATATTCAACATTTCTTTTGAAGCAGAGTAATTGAAAACTGCATGTGTGCCTGGTTACTTTTTTGAAGGCTCCCCTTGCTTCCTCTCTCTGTAAGGTGGTGGCTCTTCCTGCTGCTTGCTGGCTTTTGCTGCATCGTAAGCATTCACCCTTCAACATGAAAAATGCCTTTCAAGTGCTGCTCCCTTAACAGAGGAAAAAAGAAATTGCCGGGGGGGAGTGGAGTGGACATGGACTCTTTTATAGTTAAAAACACCCATTTCAATCTGGAGGGAGGTTTATGTGCATGGCTTTAACAAGCATGTAGAGAAAGAAATGGAAGGTACTTTCATTAACAAAATTAAAACATTTTTACATTTGGTTTTTAGGTGAATTTTTTTCTCCAGGCTCTAGTATTTATTTGCTCCTCTGAAATAAACTGAACTAGCTTGGAAGCCTTTGAGAGTTGCAGAAAGGATTTTCGCAGTGACCACTCTCCTGTTTTCCTGGGTCTTAGGCTCCTTCATTAGAATAAACTGCTGCAGGCAGACATAAATAAATAAAAAATGGCCTGCGGTTATCTCAGCCCCCTGTTTTTTGGTGCTGCATATGAAAGGAAAGTCTGGTAATGGTGTTTGTGAGGCATTGCTTTTATCGCTTGATTTTGATTTTAAATAGTTTAATGCTCTTAATGCTCCTTGTCCTATGAAACATAAGTGTGTTACAGAACTTTGTTCTAATTAGCCTCCAGTATTTTGCAGTTGTGAGCAATATGTACACATGAACATACAGTGAATGTGTGTTTGTTGCAGTTTGGCAACAAAACAGGATGACACTTCAGCAATTCTTACTCTATCATTCAGGTATTAGTTTCTTCCTTTCGTGGAAACCCAGTTCTCATTCTTAAACCATATGTTTTTTTAAAAAGTTTTGGATAATCTGCTCTGAATGATACATTACTACAGTGGGATGGAAGAAGTTTCCACAGGGTCCAGGCCTAGGTTGCATATGAATTATGGCAACTGCACATTATATGCAGGGAAAAAAATATGGAGAGGAGGAAGGGGACTAGCCTCAATTGGCTCAACTAAACATCTGTGGCTCCTTCATAGTGATCTATTTCTAGTTGTGTTGTTAAAATCAAAGAAGTGTACCTATGGGACCACATGCCCATTCTGACACAAGAAGAGAAGGCCAGAGCCTATGATTCAGCCATGAGGGACATGAAGAGAGTTTGGTGGTCATCTTTAATGTCTCTTTCTGTCACAAAAATCATAGATATAATTTAAAAGACTTTCTAGGCCAAGATTCTCCTGCACTGTGAAACTTCCAAACTACTTTTCCTTAGCAGATCATTTCTAGTGGGCTTCAAGTTGTCTGGATGGTAAATCATTCCACTTCCCTTGGATCTCAGGGCTTTGTGGCTTGAATCAGGCTCCCGGTATTCTGAGGTGGATATCTATTTGGTGGATATCTATTTGGCAACTCTATTTATTCCTCAAAGCTTTCTTCAAACGTATGTGGGTACAGGAAAGTAAGCACTAGCTCCTGTAATTGATAAATGATATGAAGCCATTGCACTGGTCTGGACAGGAGTGCTGGTCAATACAGTGGAATTTTATTTCAAGTTCCAGCTTCTCATACTAGAGGCTGACCTCAGGGACACTCAGCTGAAGAACACCCACGTGGGTCTCTTCTCATTTTCCCTTTTTCCACCTTGGGTTTCAGAGAAGGGCCATCAGGAAAGTCAGAGGAGAACGCTGGCACTGAGGTATCGAAGTAGAAATGAGGTGACTGAATGCAACTACTACATCCTTTAGTGGTCAAAAACTATTGCAACCGAAGACCAAAAGGACCCAGTCATTATTTTGCTGACTGTTCTGCTTTGAACTGTGCCAAACTGATTGACTGATTTCAGCCCATGGCCAGTGTTATAAAAACATAAGCATACACATACACTCTATTTTAACAATTCCAAATAATTTCCTAGCCTATCCTTGTATTTATCTATTCCTCATCTGATAAAAATTTTTCCTTGTTGGACCTTACTTGCTACAATATTTGACAAAACTTAGTAATGTTATACTGTCATTCACATTTGACAGTATTTACACAAAATATATCCAACCCTCCTGTATATCCCGTTAAGAAAGCCAGCAAATAGTGAGCATGGCTATCTTTATAGAAAGCATAGTGTAATAATAGTCTTGTTTCACTGTTCCCTGGGTTGCATAGGCAGTAAGGTTTATCATAGGGTATCTTTTAATTTTTTTCTTCAAATACCACTGTATACAATGCATCAAATGCTCTGCAGTATATGGGGACTGTAATTGTTCCAAGGTATTTTGCTGGTTTAAGATAAAGACCTGATTTCCCAAAGTAAAAGAGTTATTGGAGTAATTCAGATGTATTTGCCAGTCCATATCACTAACATATTTTTTAGTCATTGACTGGATTTACATATGACATTAAAACTAGGAAATCTGAGGAGAGCCAATAGCAATACAGTTGCCTCTCTAATGAACATTTCCAGCTGGATGGAAATATATCTGATAGTACCAGAGGTGCTAAACCAGTAGGAAGAAAAATTAACATCATTCATCAGTGAAAAGTACCCAGCCACTGTCCAGCATTCTAGTTTGTCAATCAGCCATTCCATATAGTCCATTTTATCTCCATCAACCCCAATCTGATTTTCCATTTCCCTCACCTCCATGCAATATAATATAAAATATAATATAATATAATATAATATAATATAATATAATATAATACAATACAATACAATACA